ACAGAATAGTGCGCCGAGTGTACGTAAGCATTATCCTATAGTGGCGTGCAGCGTGCGTGTCGTAAGCATATTCCAGCGCGTCAGTGCGCGTGTACGGTAAAGCAATTCTATAGTGCGTGCAGTGCGCGGGTACGGTAAGCATGATCCTATATGTGCGTGCAGTGCGCGTGTACGGTAAGCATATCCGCAGCGCGTGCAGTGCGCGTGGTAGCGGTCAAGCATATCCTATAGTGCGGTGCAGCGTGCGTGTACGTAAGCATATTTCCAGCGCGTGCCAGGTGCGTCGTGTACGGTAAGCATATCCAATAGCGGTGCAGTGCGCGGGTACAGTAACATACTATAAGGTGCGTGCAGTGCGCGTGTACGTAAGCAATAGTCCCAGTGGTCGTGCAGCGCTGCGTGTACGGTATGCATATCCTATAGTGCGTGCAGTGCGCGTGTAGGGGTAACATATTCTAGGCGCGTGCAGTGCGCGATGTACAGTAAGCATATGCCGCATAAGTGCGTGCAGTGGGCGCGCGTAGCGGTAAGCATATCGCTATAGTGTGCGTACAGTGGCGTCGTGTAACGTAGCATATCTATAGGTCGCGTCAGTGCGCGTGTACGGTAAGCATACCTATAGTGGCGTGCAGTGCGCGTGACAGGTTAAGCAATATCCTTATATGTGGCGGTGCAGTGCGCGTGTACGGTTAAGGCATGTATCCTATAGTGCGCAGTGCGCGGTGTACGGTCAGCATATCACCGAGCGCGTTCCCTATACGTAGCGCGCGTCTACGTGCGTGCGGGTATTGCACGAGCTACTGTACACCCTAATTTGAAATTTTCGTCGTATATGAACGCAAATTGTACGCTAAAGCATAGCGTCCATGCTATACTTGTAGGTGCCTAACGTGCGCGTGCTGTGGCGTGTTTGTTCGCGGCAGTGTTTATGTAGGCGCGCTTTTTTGATATATTGTTGTTTGTTTCTAATTAATCGGATGGCCTTTGCAAATATCTGCTCTGTTTTGAGGTGAAATATATAGACAGTTCGGTCATTGATAGATTAGCCACTATTTTAGGGATAAACGGGGAGTCTTTGCCTGCCAGAACAAGCGGTGTTGTTGCCGATCTTGAAAAACTTGCGCCGGCACAGTTGAAATGTCATCGGCAAATTTAACTTTATCGAGCTGAGCTGTTGCGCGGTGTGTCATGGTAAGGTTTTGTCCGCTTAAGTCAGCAATACAGTAAGCCACTACACTAGTATAGAAAAAATTATGTAAAATTTTTTAGAGGCATAGTATATATTTCTAATGCTGCTTAATAAAATCCTATGAACTATTGTTACGTGTTGATAGATAGTCGCATTGATGTCCAGCGGCATCGTTCCACATCTATCAAGTCTGTTCTGGGCTTGCATCTATGACAAATACGACATACACGGCTCATACGCATATACGCTCTCCTATTACACTATTGTCATAGGAAGATTGCTTCCTATGGCAAATATGTGTTGTAATGGTTTCGCATCAAAGGAAGTTTCGAAGCGCTATTATGAAACGCAAGCAGTGAATTTAGCTTGTAAGCGGAATGAAGTTGACTCGCGCAATATTTGTCGATAGAAAGAAGCTCCTATGACAGAATAGTGTCATAGGAGAGCGTATATGCGTAGTGTCGTACTTGGCATTGAGTATGCAAGCAGAACATCGTTGTCTATTCACACAAAACTACCGCGCCACTATAGACTTCCGCCCTCAAAAAATTCCGCTACAGCATAACCCGTGTCCCCGCACGATTGCTAAATGCGCCCGCATTGTCTCGCAGCTCCGTCACCTCTAGATGGCCGTAGACTCCCGCACAGGTGCGTTTCACAGGGAGAAAAGCAACAGTGGCTAACCCTGCCGTCCCTCGTACCCGCCGCAGTAAAAACGACGGCGATTGGCAGACGATAGTTAGAACGAGAAAAACATCCGCGCTATAAACGCAGGACGAACACGGACGCGTATAAACGACTCTAGTAAGGCAAATTAGCGAGACAGAGCAGCCTGGAGTGGCCTTCGCCTGACCGGAACACCTGGGCGAGACACCGCGGTGAACTATAGCGTCCGCCCGCATTATGCGCGTATACCGCGATCGTAGATCGGTTCGCGTGTCCTCCTTTTATTAAGGATCGCGTGTGCGTGTGTGGCATTGGGACTGTCGTCCTCGCTGCCCATGCTACAGTCCTCTTCATCGTCTATGTTCCGTCTGTCTCGCTGCACGTTAGTCGTTGGTTACATGTCACATCCCACTTGCCAATGGCGCCAGAACCACGTAGCTTAGTGCTGCACAGGCCACCTACATGCAACGCGAGACTTACTCTGCAAGGTGCTCCACTCGCATATTGTCCTAGCACTAGTAGTTGGCTCTGGGAGTGCTATGAGTGAGCTAGGGGACTCAAACTAGTTGATGGGTGGAAATGTTGTTTTTGACAAGTACTCCTTGCTGTTCAAACGTAGCAGGCAACATCTCCGTAATCGCGCCG